AGTCACAGTCTTAGCAACAAGTAATGGCAGTCTGGGCCTGCGGACTCCATTGCATGTCTCAAGCCTGAATGTAATTGGATTTAGTGGTTGCCATAAAGTGGTATAATATTTTCCAGGACAGTTAATTAAAGAGAACCGAGCCTATATTTATCGAAAAACTTTCTTTTGTTTTTTGTTTAATGTAGAAAAATAGGTATTTAACAATACGAATGTCCAGCTAAACAGCACCCAAATAATTTCTTAGTAAGGTCTTTTTTTCTACACTCCAATAAAACGTCCCAGCTCTAATGTCTCATCATATTACCCTTATTTTATGCTTACTCTCCTCGACCTATTCGGCTTCCCAAATCATAATTTCTCATCATTATTTCTCAAAATGAACAGCACAACTGTACTCCGTTCCTATTAAGAGTATTAAGCAGGGTACACAACTGTACTTTATGGCATAATCCTAACCTTGGCCCAGCAGTAACTTCATTGATGCTTAAACAATATTCAGCAGACGGCTGTCAACAGCTTGGACTTGGATTTTTTCTAACGAATAATACATAATACCCCTTCCAGTGGCACTCTCGAGCCACCTGCTATTCATTCACCTGTTAGCCAGGGGGCACAGGCAGCAATTTCTCTCTCTGGCTTTGCCCCAATTAACTTTGGCGTCTATTGTTGTCAACGCTTCATATTTGATGGGGGCCTTCTTTCACTTTGCCTCAGCTAATCCTGCAACATCAGGCATCACACTCCTTTCTGTGCCTTCCCTGAAACATCTGCTTCTGTTGCAAGTTTCCAAGTATAGGGGTCTACATATGTACATGTTGTTGAGCGAGGAAAAGTCTTGGAAAAGCCAAGCCGTTGTCATCGTTACCTGAAGACTGTTGGACCAAAAACAATTAATAAATCATCAGGCCACGCTAATGGGTAAATGATACACTCACTCAACCATGAGGATAATGTTCTTCCTTGGGGTTTTTCTCTAACCAAATGTTATTGTTAAGGGTTGACTCTTGATGGATAGAACTGAGAAGAGAAGAGCTGAGAAAAAGTTTAGTTGGCACAATAAACAATAGTCAACAATAAATCATTGACATTTTGTTTGGAAGTAGAACACTTTATGTTTCCATTAGCTATTGAATATTTATTCATTGTCTGGAATACATATTCTAATTAGGAGAAACCACATTTGCGTCAGGGATTATTTGTACAAAATCAACACGATTTAATATGCAAGCAAATTTCTCTCGGGAAATTAATTGATTGATAAATATGAATAGAAAAGTGTTGAAAATAAATTTAAATATTTTGTATGTTATTTTCCTTGTGATTGTTGAATTTTGATATGAAATATTTAAGAGTTAAAGCAACAGTAATTTTAGTTTAGTCCTTCAGCACCTTTGAAAACAAATTAAATATATAAAAAAAACGGTCTTTAAATGTCCTTGAAGTTGTTTTGTATTTCTTCCTTCCCTTTTAAGGACAAATTAACTTGCGTATCAAATATTGAACAATGTATAAACATTTCCTTTGAATAAGTCTTCTGTTATGAGTTTTTCCGCCATTACAACGCCCTCGAAGAAAACTCGTATTACCAGCCTTCAAGGCAACAGAGCTTTTCTCCTTCCTTTCGGTTTCAATTACAAATTTTCTTTTATGGCACACAATGGAACCCAGATGGAACATATGCCCCCAAATGAGAGGAGCCTGCTTCCTGATAAACAATCAATTTCCATGTCCTAACATTGTACATTGAATTATGAAGAGCAATAAATAAGTTAATGAAGTATAAAGGGACGAGAGAACTCCCCCAGGATGTGGGGGCAGAATGAAGAGCTTAAATAAAAACAATTTCCTGTTTGTCTCCTCAACTAAATGCTTCTCATCAGGGAGCTAATTGGAATAGGTTGTGGGCAACAAATTTTCCAACTTGACAGCTAATTAAAGTAGATAAAACAGAGCCTCAAACGGACTGAAAGAAATTGCTTTAATTATGGACTTGGCTTGGCTTTAAGGCCCTTCATCAGTCATCGCCCCATGGGACAAAAAGCGAACCTCAACCTCAAGCTCAGTCTCATCTTTAGTATCAGTCTCAGAATCAGTCTCCTCCAACCAGTCATTAATGCGACAGGGACTTATGAATAATTTATAGCTGGATTTTCTGGGCTTTGTGCTTTATTAAAAAATTTGTTATAACTGGTAGATGTTTGGGTAGATACCCTTGGGTTTGGGCATAATCAATGGTTTAAAGATTGGTCAGTCATAGCAGGACTCATCATCATTGAATATTCTTTGGTTTGAAATTGTATAATCTATTTGAACGATTCTATTCCTTAAGTATTTCCCCAAATTCTTCATCCGCCTACTGTTGAAATATAGGGTACAGAGACTTCCTTATGCCATGCACAGTTTCTACTCTGTTTCCTCTTTAAATAATTTTCTTTTACACAATCGCTTCATCATAAATTATTCTTTTCAAATTTTCAATTTAACAGAATTCAATTACGAGTTTTGATAGGCAATGAAAACTCTTTAAAGTATAAAATCCTCAGCAAATAAATTGATTTCAAGGTTATTTGGGAAGCTTACTTAACAGACTTTCAAGTCAAGGCCCTATAAATAAAACACTTCTGTTCTCATAAGGTTTATAGCCCCCTATCCTGCCCAAAACGAAATGAAATGACGTAGGAGAATGTTAAACAATCTGCAAGCTGAAAAAACGCCTATTACATAAGTGATTCACCTCTGCAGTTAGTGTATTGAACCATCCGCACGTGACTATAAAATTGAATACGAGTATAGCCGTAAGCCTTTACCCATCACCGAAAAAAAAAAACAAAACCCGAACAAAAAGAAATGAATAACAGACGCAGGCAATCGGCATTAACCTTGGCCAAAAGTATTTGCACAACTGCTGACAGTCGGTAAAACAAAAACACAAGCCGAAATAAATAAAGAAAAAGAAACGAATTTATTTAATTGACGCATAAAACTAGACAAGAGACACGGCTCTGTTGTCTCTGTTGATGTCAAGGAATATCATAGCCGACTCTGCTGACTAATAAAATTATTGCATATTTAAGGGCGTCTCCAAAGTTTATACCTCTCCGCTTGGAGATCCTTCAGCAGTTGCTGGTCCTGACACTGGAACGACCTTCAGGTTCAAAATCAAAGTTATTTCTGCTTTACGAATTGTTTTTCCGTTGGAAAAATGTATGCAACGACAACAATCGGAGAGCGCAAAATCGGATTAATGCATTATGCATAACCCTTCAACCGCTACTACCATCGGGCCACAGCTTTGTGTGGATTTCTGTTGAGGCTACCATTCTTAATGGTGCCTCTGGGTGCTCATAACGCTTTCAATATTTAATATTCCGTCAAAGGGCCTTCGCCTTTCCAGTCTTCTGGCACGTTCACGCATGAACACGCTTAGCGACAGTGACACGCATATACGGTCACATTAAGTGACGACACAACACGAATGGCCATACTTTAAAGAGAACATTTGTTCCACTCAAAATGGGGAGATGAGAGCTGAAAACAACAGACAAGAAGCGAAACACAATTGTGCGCAATTGTTGGTCATGAAATTCGGAGGAATGGTGTGTTGTGTAGGGTAGAGATATGGGTAGCAATGAGATATTTTAGTTGGGAAGGTCCTTCTGCTGCTGTTTTCCCCTGCTTCAGGGACATTTGTCAACCCAAAAATGTTAAAAACAGAAGTCGTAAATTGTTCGGAGGATTCTCATTTTGGGGTTTCCTTTTTATTAAGGAAAATTACTGATATATATTCTGGTCAAGATAAAAAAGATACAGCAGTGTTGTTAATTAAAGATGGTAATTAGTCTGAATTATGATTTGTATTTTGTTAAAATATAATTTTACTTTTCCTTTAGAGGTTTACATAGTTTGGTTGAAAGAATTTCGCAGTAATTCGCAATGAATTGCACATCTCTCATTTAAACCAGAAAAAATTGTTTCGGTTTTGTGGTCAAAAACTCTGTGTGTGTTGTAAAAATTTCGTGTAAAAAGGTAATTAATTTTTTTGTGGTCATTCTGTGGGGTGACATTTCAGGCCAGATGCATATGAGCAAGCAAATTAACATAAAACAAGCTGGTGATGGAAAATAAGTAGTCATATGCAAAGTCCCCCGTGTCGTATACGTAATGAGTGCAAAGGCCAGATGCCAGAAATACTGTGTAGAAGCTTCCATTTAAGCAACCCGATGAGCGGCAAAAGGCTGCAGGAGCTCAAGTTTAGCCATGAATCGGATAGATCCCTCTACACATAGATAGTTTGTTCAATTACCGCTGTGTCTGTTCCGACTTTGGGGGATTGAAATAAGTTGAATGGCAGGAAAAGAGGAATAGTTGGCAAGGGAATGGGAATGGGAATGGGAAAGGGAAATCAAGCATCCAAACCACTTTGCAGTGCAATTTATGTTCATTATACAGCCAGCTGCATCCGAGGGATAGCCATGAATGGATAGCACTGGATTGGCATGTGTGCCGTGTAAGTGGGCGAGCTCCTGACACTGCAGGCTCCCAGCAATTGCTCCACTCGGGCTCGAGTGCCAGAGCCTCAAGGCCACTCTGGGATAATCTGGGGAATGCCACTGAATTATTGCCTTTTGTCTGGGGTATTTATGGTCTCCAGTTCAAGTTGGGTCAGAGCCATTCCTTTCGAGTGGATATCGAGAGTGAAATGAGTTGGAATTGATTTCAAAGAAATTTTGTTTCGAAATTGAAGTGCTGGAAATTTAATGAGTAATGAAAGATATACGGGTGCATAAAAACCACCTGAGCTAAAGGTTTGGTTGGTTTTTCGTTTGTTAAATAAGTGGTAGACTAGAAACTAATTTTCGTTTAACATTTTTCCATTTAAGTGGTGCAAAAACTTTTGAAAAGCCTCGAACAAAAGCTTCTTGTTATTGATATTAATATTTCTTCAATTGTTGAAGTTAAATGGTGATCTAATCCTTATCAAATCCCTCTGTATTTTACAGGCAGAATCGCCCTTACTGCCCCTGAAGGAGAACGACGCGACACTACCGAGAGTCCACAATTCCTCGCACATATCAGCCACTAGGTCACCGCACGAGTACACCTCCTTAGCCAGAGATTCCGAGCCCGCCCTCACGCCCACATCCACGACTGCCACGCCCAGGCCGAATGAGTGCAGACGTCGTAGCTCATTGACCAACTGTCCAGCACCCCCACCCGCCTGCACCGAGGGAAATCCACCGGGCGAAGCCAACAACAACACCAGCAGCAGCAACCACAACACCAAGGAAGACTTTTACACGACTTTGGGAAGCAGCACGCCCAGCCACAAGCACGCCCACGAGCACGAGTACAAGCTCTACCCCAACGACACATTCGCCCAATTGGAGGGAAAAGCACCAAAGCCAAACACCAAAATGCAGACCAAAGTGGACGCAGTGGGTCGCATCACGGGCCAGTGGGGCAAATGGCAGCTGCGAACAGTGCTGCTGATCTTCCTGTGCAAGATACCATCCTCGTGGTTCATGGCCTGCATCATCTTCACGGCTCCCGCACCCAGGCACGGGGAGTTCTTCTGCAAGCCCCCGAACACAGTCGGGGCCCAGAACCAGACGCAGTGGATTAAGGTTTCGCATCCGCAAAAGGAGGAGAGCGAGGATCAGGAGTTCAACATTGACTTCTGCAACGTCTACCAGGATGCGCAGGAGCATGCCCATCACTACTACAACTACGAGAATAGCGAGCAGGAGCCGCGCATCTGGGAGAAGCCCCTCAATCGCAACTCCAATGTCATACCCTGCACGGAGTTCCAGCACGAGTCCAGCTACCACTCGGTGGTCACTCAATACGATCTGGTCTGTTCCCGGGATATCCTCGTCTCTGTCACGCAGTTCTTCCATCTGTTTGGTGTTCTCACCGGCGGTATCCTGGCGAATCAGCTGTTGAAATAGTAAGTTCTTCGCGAATATCTCTCTCTTTAGTAGCTCACTGTTATCTCTTTTCCTTCCAGCTTCAGTCCCCGGAATGTGATGCTCTTCGGCATGATCACCCAGATCTTCTGTGGCAATCTGACGGGTCATGTGGCTTCCTATGAGCTCCATGTGTTCTTCCGCTGCCTCTCCGCCGTCTGCTGTGCGCAGATGTACACCGCTGGAGGGATGATCATGGCCGATATAACGGGTGGCAAGTATCGCACTTGTGTCTCCACTCTCTTCGAGCAGTTCTGGTCCATTGGCGTGATGATGCTGCCGGGCGTGGCAAGCTTTTGGTCCAGCTGGTCGCATCTCTACATGGCCATCTCCTGGCCAACAGTGATACTGATCTACCTGTGGCAGTGAGTACTACAAAGACTCCCCTGTGAGTGCTTTCCTCTAACTCGTGTCCTTCTTCTTTCAGATGGATACCCGACTCCCCGCGCTGGCTTATCGCCCGCGGTCGTGTGCAGGATGCCAAGAAGATCTTGCTGCAGTGCGCCGATATCAATGGCACTCGGTACAGTCTGCCCCATGACATTGATCAGCAGCTGGAGCTGCAGGCACAGACGGCCATGGATGCCCCACCGCCGAGTGGCTGGTGGTCGATGTGGAAGGGAGAGCGGGCCGTGCGTCACATGATCTGCGTTCATCTGGCCTGGTCCCTCTACATCGTGGTCTACTATGGGATGCTGCTGAACATCCGTTCCTTCAGTCGAGAGCATCTGTACATCAACACGTTCTTTGCGGGCTTGAGCGAGATGATCGGCACCTTTATCGGGCTCTTTCTGATTATGAAGACTACTAGGAAGTGGCTCTGGACGGGACTGTTCAACATGATTGCCGGATGCATTGCCTATTGTGGTTGGCTGGTGCCCAAGCCGGGCGTCATTCCATTCGATGCCAATGTGGCCCTGCTGATGTGCTCCGCTATGGTCTCCAAGATGGCTATATCCACCACTCTCTCCATACTGACGACCTGCACCGTGGAGCTGGTGTCCGATGACAAGAAGAAGATCACCTCGTTCTCGACCATCTGTTGGGCCCGCTTCTGGCTGCTGGGTGCACCCTTTATTGGATCGACTATCTTTTTGGGCCAGCTTGTGCCCCAGACGGCCTTCGCGTCCCTAGCCATTTGTGGTGGCATCTGCACCGCTCTGATCACCAGCCCGCGTACGCATCCCATCTCCCGGCCGACATCTTCGCCGACCGCCCAGGGTGCCCAGAACATGGCCTCTGCCTCCCAGTTCACCATCATCGACGGAATGGACAACAAAGGCTACACGCCAAGCTCGAAGCCCATTATCTCTAGTAATACTATTAGGAAACTGACCACACCACAATCGAATCTACCTCCACAACTAATGCCCGGGATTTGGACGACCAAGATACACGAGGATGGCCCACCAAAGTGATATTCCCGGACAGCTGTGCCGTAGAATGGGGTTAAGTGATGTGACGCGAGTGAAGGTGAAGGTTGGCTAGAATATTGGTTTTGTTCACTTTGGTAGGGCTGTGACCTTGCAAACAACTACAGTCTACAAAATTTGATATACTATACTTATATAGCCTGTACACTACTTTAAGGCCAAGGCCATCCCTTTTGTAATGCACATAGGGCAAAGTTTATTGAAAGTAAAGTCAAATATCCGCTCTTCTCGCACACATTCTATGTAGGAGCTCAACTTTACCCCAAGACCGCAAACTAAATGCTCAAAAGATGAGAAAAAAAACATTACAAAACAAAACCGTGAAAAATGCTACATTTTTAAGTAGGCAAACTTTAAAGCTTAGAGCTTAAGAGAATGATCCTTAAGCAGTTTCAATTAAAAGGAAAAGACGTTCGCAAAGGAAAATAATATTTTTAAATTAATCTAATCTTAGAGCATAATTAAGTAGAGCCTTAGTTAACCCTCGGAAGGGCGCGCAGCCATACAGTAGTCTCGTAAGTAGGTCGAATGTGGAACACAAGCCCAGTATTACTCAGTTGTCGCTAATGAACCGAACCGAACCGAACCGAACCGAATAGGACCTCACATACCGCACTTGATCCCCTATGGATGTAGAACCAATAACATAAACTCCACTTACTCGCATAAACACAAAACCAACTGATAATGATGATCCTTTTAAAGGCCTGTTTCGTAAGATCCCCAAAAAGCTGTTCCACATTTAAGTGATTGTGTTGTAAACACCTGGAGAGAATTACATGAAAAGACATATAAAATCTAGTTACACAATAATTATTGCAAATTTTAATTAATTATCTCTCGGTAAACAAAAACAATTAATTAATTATTTAAAGAAAAAGAAAACAATAATTTTAGTGTACGCATAAATTACTTTATTACCATTATGTATTATGTATTACCAAGCTAATTTAATATAAATCAATTATAAATTAGTAGTGTTTCAGGTCTTACCTACTTAATTATTGCATATGAAACATATATACATATATTTTCAACAATTGAAATATTTATCTAGTGAATGCGCTTAGGAACTCGTTGAATGTTATATGATAATGGTTACTATATGAAAGGAAATGTTATGCATGGCAAAAAGAGCAATATTTTTCTAATAAAGCATCCCAAAAAACATTCAAGTTCTTTAATTTAAAATTATCCGTAAATACGTGTTTCTTGTTTCATTTCATTAGCTGGAAACGGGCTTCCGGTTCCGCAAGATCTGGGCCACTCCCAATCATGTAGAAATGTAAGTATTTTACATTGGAGCTGCCAGACTGTGGTCTGAGAAAAGAGGTGGCAACTCATCGACTTACTTCGCGCCAATCTGCCATTTCAAATGTGAAAAAAAGTTGAAGCTGTATATAGTTTCGCTGAATAAATTAAATTGCCTCTTGGCCGAATTTAAAAATGAGATAATGTTATACAGAAATAATCAATGTATCGAAAAAGCTGAAATTTATATTAATCTTAGCGGTTGGCGCTTCTAACAGAATTCGGAAAAGCAGTTCCTTTGATAGATCAACAACAACTATCGAAGTAAATACATTTAATTGATTTAAAATTAACTGAATTTGTCCGTTACAGTCCCGAAATCCGCATTCATAAGAGACTTGACCATCTTTGTGACTGTTTCTCCTTGTTTTAACAACATTAGATGCACGCTGGGATCTGCAATCTCCAGTTGTCACAGCATATGGCATAGTGGCTTGATTGGCATTCCCGAATTCCACATGCCTCGACTCCGTTTCACCGGCCAGATTTTGCAACAACAACCAACAACTGGAACAGATGTTCACAGAAAAGCAAAAAAAAAAAGGTAAACGAGTTGCCAACTAGGGACTAACTAAGGCCGCTCAATAAAAGAGAGAGAGAGAGAGACAGACAGGCAGTCGGGTCAACGGAGAGAGCAACTTGTTTGGGTGCCAGTGCCAGCCACAGCCACCCACCCACAACTGAATGCTGGAGAAGATCACCTCTGCGGGCAGCTTTGCTGCTGGCATTGGCAGAGCATTTTTGCAGCTTTTTCAAGCGAATATTTTATTTCATATTACTTTTTTCCCTCTCTGACGTCACACCGTTTGTGGTTGTTTGTGCCCACCGCCAGCGAGCACTTTCTACGAGAAAATGTTGAGAAATCAAAAAAGATGCGACTGTTTCTTCTGTGTATGTCCACATCTCTGCACGTGTGTGTCTGGCTGCTTCGTCTGTGGGTGTGTGTGTGTGTTTCTAGTAGCCGCAGAAGTTCATTGGGAAAGTGCAACCTGAACCTGCTGGGAAAATGGGCAATTCACTGATAAGAAACCCCTTTTGGATGCAAACAAAGTCATCTCATTCAGATTTAATTGTAGGAAAATCATAGAGATGCAGTCGAGAAACGTGCGTGGCCTGCACACTGAGGGGGAGGGTCAGACGTAAACAGTGGGTAAGGCAGGAGAGAGGGAGATCCACAGCTGTTATCAATTGAATTCCGATTCGATATTTTTCGGTGTGCAGCTGAAGCGAGACTGCTGCGCATTCGAAATAATATTCGAAATGCAGCATAAGTGCAGGTTTTAGATCGAAATGTGCGGGGGATCGGGATCTGGGGGGACTCTAATCGGTATGTGCTTCGATTGCCTGTTTTGATTAGTTTGCCTCTTCTGTGTGTATTCGTAGATTGGTTTGGATGACATCACCGCCACTTCTCTCTCTCTCTCTCTCTCTCTCTGGCTCGCTCTTCCACTCTCGCTTGGGGATCTCTCTCCTCTCGGCATCCAACACCTTTGCAAAGCAGCCAGCCTCATGCGTGTGTGTGTGTGTGTGTATCGGCGGTACGAGTACAGTGGTCCAGATCTAAAGAAAAATCTTGAAAGTCGAATGTTTTGCAGCTCGAGATTAATATACTATGTGTATTATGTACAATTTTATTACCAGATATCACACCAGATATTATAAAATATCATAATTCCGATACTTGGTAAACTAACTCCTTTTGTGACGAATTAATGAGAATTGCAAGATAAAACTAACTGAAATATCTATGATTAATTTATGGCATGATTGTATCTTTCATTGTTTAATTAATCTCGTCGCAAAAGTATTTATATCTATTCAGTTTCCTAAGAAATCATTAGGGCCCTTCACTGGTTTCTACAAATACCGAATAGGCCCACAGCCCCATAGTGCACCGCCTATACAGACGCAAGCGACTTGAAGAGGTTAATTTGTTTGTTGGCCGCGTCTTGGACGGACCGAGAGAGACACAGAGATACACAGAGAGCGCGCATAGCGTCATGGGAGCGAGAGCGAGAGAGCGTAAAAAGCGCCAAGAGCGAACGCCAACGCTGACTTTACATTTTGTTGTATCTTCTGCTGGTGTTGCTGTTGTTGGTATTGCTGCCGCTGCCACCATAGAGTATCTGTATCTGTGCCTCTGGCGAAGCTAAATTTTTTCAGTCAGTTCGAATTCGCGAAACAATGCGGTCGCCGTACGAAGATAGTGCTGCCGTATCGACGGACCACAAATACCAATACAGCAGCGCCAATCATAATAATAATAATTACTATAAAAACTATAATGTGAACGGCAATGGCAATGGAAATGGGAATGGGAATGGGAGTTTGAATGGGAATGGAAATGGAAATGGCATACCTTATCACGCGCGCGAGAACTCACTGCCATTCAGCTATGGAATTGCCAAAACGTCGACCCCGTTGCGCAAAACTCCGACACCGACGCGAGCGGATAGTTTCCTAGACATTGATTTCGGCAGCCATAAAAATAGTAATACTAATAACAATAATACCAATACCAATGATATGATAAAGCCCCAACCTCGGCTGACGAGCCCTTTGCTGGTGCGCAAAACACTTGGGAACGGAACGAATACTACATCAAATGCGGCGAGCACCAACACCATAGCCAATACGTACCACTACAGGTCGGGGAGCACGACGCCAACGCCATTGAGAGATGACTTCGAGCAGCTGCTGCGGGAGAGGCGCGATAAGGTGTTTAGCGAGTACCGTGAAAGGGACGGCAGGGAGAGAGTGCCGCCCACTCCGCCGCAGCGCCACTATTACCCCAGCCCCAACGGGCAGGGAAATGGCTACGGAAATGGCTATGGAAACGGCTATGGCAGTGGAAACGGATATCGGAGCAGTCATTCCAACGGGCAGGCCAGCAAGTACAACTACGATTTCGAGTTCAATCTCCACCTGGATGACCTGAGTCCCGAGCGTAGCTCTCTGCCAGCACCGGCGCCCTACAATACGCGCACCATTCAGTTCGAGGATCAGCGGCGCGAGCACAGACTCGATCAGGATGTGCCAGATGGCGTGGTGAACCGCCGCTTGGCATCCACAGCTGTGGAACGCAATTATCACACAATTAACAGCATGGAACGACCTCCATTGGAGGCGACATACAAACGACAGTTGGAGCCGCAACTGCAACTGGGTGCTGTTTATGGTCAGAGCAACCTGGAGACACTCACGCGCACTCGTCGCGAGGTGTCCACAGCCACCGCCACAGGCAGCTCCACATCGCCATTGCCATCGGCATCATCGCCCATCTATGCCACCAGCACAAAGAGAGTGAACAACCCAAATACCAATGGCAATGTCTATGGCCAGACGACGCCTAGTCCCACAAGCAGACCAGAAACGCCAGCCTTTCCGGTCACTCCTCGGACACCATTTGGGGGTACGCCTGGTACGGCGCTCACCCAGTTGGGAGCCGAATCCATCTACCAGACAGCTCCCAGGCAACAACAGCAGCAGCGCCTCAGCTCGCCACAAGAGCAGGCACTTTCGCCCATGGAGGTGGCCGCCGACTCTGTGCGATTCGCCCGCAGCTCCGCCAAGTTTTGGTACAAGGCCAACCTGTCACGGGAGGATGCTATTGCTCTGCTGGCCTCTGCCCAGCCCGGAACCTTCTTGGTGCGCGACTCGACCACGTACAAGAATGCCTATGGCCTGGTGGTAAGGGTTGCTCAGCCGCCGGCTGGTTCCCAGGAGCTGGTGCGCCACTTTCTCATCGAGCCCACTCGGGAGGGCGTGCGTCTTAAGGGCTGTGACAACGAGCCCGTCTTCACCTCGCTATCGGCCCTGGTGTTCGAGCATTCCATCAACCGGTTGGCTCTACCCTGCCTTCTGCGCCTTCCTGAAGAAGATATAGTGCCGGGATTGGTGGCAACACCAGCCCAGCAGCATCTGCTGACCCATGGGGCTGCCACCAATGTTCTGTGGCTCTATTCCTCCGACACGGAGTCGCTGACCGGAAACGAAGCCATCCGAAAGGCCATTCGGCTGATGTACGCCCAGCAGAAGCTGCCCGAGCCCACTGAAGTCCATTTCAAAGTCACGTCCCAGGGCATCACCTTAACGGACAACACCCGCAAGAAGTTCTTCCGAAAGCACTACACGGCGGACGTAATCTCCCACTGCGCCATTGACCCCGAGAGCCGGATGTGGACCAGCGAGGGGCAGACGGGGAAGAAGACCATCTTCGCCTTCGTGGCGCGTCGCTCGCACAGCTCCAAGGATAACCAGTGCCATGTGTTCTGTGATCTGTCCGTCAGCCAGCCGGCGGCGGCGATTGTATCCTTCGCCAATCGCACGCTTCCCACCGAAAAGCTGCGCAACTATGTCCTATAGAGTGGGGCGTGGCAGACAGCAGGAACACTCTACAGAGGAACCCAACACACATATAGCCGACACAGGTAAGATGATTGCTGGGGGCGCAGTTTTGTTGGCCATAAAAGAGCATTATATGATGGGTGTGTGCCGGCCTTGGGAGTCGTGACTGTCGAGAACAGTAGCTCCTCGAAACGGTGAACCAATTAAGTATTTTCGGATTTCCTCGTGCTTTCGCCAGTGCAGTGCAACTTGTTTTCAAGCCTCTACGATCCATTGAAGATACTTTGGTTCAAATAAAGTTTGAAGATTCTAGATTCATTAGCGGGGGCTGGGATTGGTTTGCCTTGGATACGTATGGACAACAATCCAACAAATTTGATCCATTTGTGGGTTGAGCTTTTGTTGGGCTACCGAGAACTATCCGTATATGCAAATTTAATTCTTACCAGGCAGCCGGATACCCACTGTATCCATTCAATCATTCTCCGCTCAAAACGGAAAACTATTAAAAACGTTTCAGTTTCTTGGGCCCTTCCGTTCGGTCGTCTTCGTTCATTTGTTTACTTTACATAATGCCTCGAACTTTGTTTGTTTGTTTAACGGTTTCCATATACTGCTGTGCACACATTCTCGTATGGGTATAGATAAAGATATACCCACGTTCATACATATGTATCCATAGATACTTTCATATGTATAGATAGAAGCATTTGGCTAACGTTTCTGACTATACATTTTTGCGCAACGGAAGTTTCTGTCATGAGTCAGTCGTCTATAAATTATTGAGAATTCCCATCGAAGAGTTTTTTCTAAATTCTGGAGAGCCACACCTATGTACATATGTACATACATTCCAAATATTTGATGTGGATTTTTTTGGAGTATTTATTTTGATTTGATTAATTTCCCCATTTCAAGGGCTACTGCTGAGGTCGCCTGATAAGAACAGAACGCTTAACTGTGCATTGCCATGCCATGCTACTAGTATGCGGGGATATTTTTGTGTCACTCATTTTCGTTGTGTGGTTTATCAGTCGGCTGGGCGATCGATCCAGTAGTGCCGCACATTTGTCTGGAGGTGGGCCTGTGACTATGGAGAAAAATATCGTTCATGAGGAAAACTATGTTTATTCTACACACATTCTAGATCGCTGGCTCGTTTCCACCTTGAATTTTTGTGGAATTTTTCGCTCGAACTATAAAGAGAAAATATGCAAATAAACAGCCCAGCCGTTCATAGAAATCGATTTTACGTGTGTAACACAAAAGTTTAAATTAATTCATTCGAACCGGCGGGCGTCAAGTGCGCATTTCTAGCAAAACCTCAGCCAAATACATATTTATTCCAGCCGCGTTTGAGTTTATTTTTTTAGCATTTGCTGCTACCCTCTACCTTTCCTGATCGAGTATGGATAAAAGTAACCGTGAATAAAACTTTAAAAATAAAATAATATTAATATTTAAGATAGAGTTGGCATTTATTTATCCTCTGTGTATCCAACAGATGTGCAAAATCAGTATATCTACCTCTTAAGTGCGAGAGAATGGGGAAAATGTTAGCTCTCCGTCTCTGCCGGATTGTCTGAATTGAGGCCTGGGGGCCCCATTGGCTGTTCTATCGATCAAGTGATCTATTTGATCTGCAATTAAGCAATTAAACATGCACAATAGTGCTTATAGAGTACATTGAAATTTATGACCTTGTTGTTTGCAATTTAAAACATATTTCCTTTCCTCTTTCATTTCACTCATTCTCTCTCTCTCTCTCTTGCAGGCGAATCAAATTGAGTCTGCAATGCAGTACAGTAAAGGCCAGTTGTAAGATCTACTACTAAATCTGTTTACGAAATGTGTCGCCTTGCGATATGGAGGTTTAACTGCGAATATGTTAACAGCAATGATGTCAGCTTTAGTTTATTTAGAGACGCACACACACCGCCAATCGACCATATTTTTATGGCAGAGCTAAAACGAATATTCGAATGTACGCATGTGTATTATCATCATGAATTGACTAAATGCACGGTGGGACAAGAGCGTAAACGTCAGAGAATATTTTCGGAAATGCCCCTTCATATCGGTTTATATATCCACAGTATAGACCTCTGAATGAAGTTTTCTGTGAATTCTATAATGAGAGAACAGCTCTGTTTCACTGTGCGGAAAGTGATTTTAAATTGTCCATCTATTAGTGCAAAAACGCTGTACCCATAAAATGTTGGTGTGTGTTTCTTCATCGCTATGGCTACAGAGGGTAGCTAAAAAACTTATCCAGCTAATAATTTTAAAATGATTAACCTTAAGTAAGAAACTTGTTGAATAAACTCAGTTTAGAGCTAAAGAAACCTTTAATACAAATCAAAGTGCAAGCCGTAAGAAACCCAGCTTGTCACCCAATTAATTTATACCAGTAATATCTACAAATAAATATAATTCTAGTACATGATGTATGTGTTATGTATTAAGCTCTACTAATGCAGTCAATCTAAATAAAGTGCAATGTTGTTAAACAAAATTAATGGCATATTATTCCTCTTTCCTTCTTTCCTTTCCTCCAGCATCTGGTAATAATAGTTTGTTATCTAATTGAAAATACAGACACTGCGTTATATGCACTTTTAAGCGCTTCAGGCGACTGTAAATGGCATACATCAAACAAACAAATAGACGAACTGTTGCTTTTGTTAAACAATTAATTGTTTTATATTCATACAGCGCTATAGTAGTACGCTATGGGTATGTATGTACATACATATATAGAGTCTGCTCCAACTTTTGCACTCAACAATTGTATTGTAATTTAATCTTATCGTGTGACAAGAGATGTTAATGTATAGCACACTCACGATTATAGTATATGGTATATGGTTAGGCGCAACAAAACAAAATTGTGGAGCACTTTTCCCATCTACAAAGAGAGCAGCATCATCATCATCGCATCTCGAAGTGCCTCGTTTTATGAGTAAATGCAATTTATTCAGGCATCCACAACAACAACCGAACCCTCCCTGTCTATAGAGCAGCAGCCCCAAGTCAAGTGTGCCAAGCAAAGCCAAGTGAAATGAAAAGGCGTCCGACGACTCGACCTTGAGATCAATTTGTTAAAGAGTGACGTCATCGCCTTCGTATTTCAGAACAGCGTCGCGACGCGACGAACAACAGCAGCTGTTGCTTTCATGCTATCCTATCCGAAATTCTTACAAAAGTTTACACATACAATTTGAGGCTAATGCCTCGCAGATTTGTGTTTTATGTGCACCCACAATTAATTGATCGGATTTCTTTCTTCCAAGCAGCCATTTGTGGTACGCGCTCTTCTACATTCTAATTTTGCTAATTTCATATATACATACATATCAGACGTATGTTTGTACATGTACATACATATATACATATACCATTTGTCACGAGCCAGAGAAGCCGAAACCTGTTTCCTCATATTCATTGCCTAAATTTGATAATTAATTGATCGACAAAGAAACAGCAGTCGTTCGTTTCAACAAAGACAAAGTCCGCAGAGCGAAGTTCGTGTCGATTCCCCCGCCCCCCAAAAAAATCTCTCCAAATGAGACGCAATGCATGTTTTGTATCTTACATTTAATACATTTGGATTTGGTTGTGTTGTTTGTGTGTGTGGTGTGTGTGTGAGTGTGTGTGTGTACAAAAGTGAACATAAAATCAACGTTCTGTGTGATTAGATATCTACATACATCTACGTTTACATACATCGTATTCAGTTAAACATAATAAATACATAAATTTCAATAATATATACTCGAACTTGTATATATAACAAATAATACCTTCCAGATCGGAACCATTGCCATTTCCACTTCCAGGTAGATTCAACATTACGCGTGAAACAGAACATAATGAAAAGCTCACAAGAAAACTCGAGAGGCGCGACACTACTGTGATAAGTGTTCGTTTGTGGGGGTGTTTTTGTGTTTCTTTAGTTTAGTTACAAAATTTCTCTATGTTTTCACGAGCCTATTGCCATATTGCCATTTTTCATTCCCGCACGATGTCATGTCGATGTTGAATTGGGGAAAAACTAATTTGATTTTGCCGAATACGGACTTGTAGAGCCCACCGATGGGGGTGTGGGTGTCGCTCCACTACGTATACCATCGCCTTCGCACACATATTTTCCTGTAATCCGATAGAGAAAGAACAAATGTTATATCCCAAATATTCATCATCATTCGCTTGAAAACTTACCAGAAACAAAGCGCCGCTTGACCAACGATAAGCGATATCCACTGCCCTGGAGCTCGAACTCGATGCCCGACAGAGTGGTGCCCTCGCAGTTGAACTGAGTGGCCAACAGGGCTGGTGTTGAGGGACCATCGTTGAGCTCAAGGCGAGCCCTCAACGTACCGACCCCACCGTCCTGGGAGTTCTGCGATATATCCGTAAAGTTCCATACCAAACGATTTGATTCGCCCAACCTAACAACACAATATAAAATAACCTGAGTTGTGGGATTTGCGGATGAGAGCGGTCTTGCTTACCACGCAGAATGGGGTTTGGACTGCACATTACGCACAGAGCCATTGACGGGCACGGACAGCGTGACGTTCAGGAGAGGCGAGGCACTGGCCATGGCATGGTTATTGTACTTGTAGTCTACCTTCAGGGCTGTATAGCTGGACTCGCACTTCCAGTAGCTCACCAGTTGGAAGGGACACGAGCTGGCCCCCGGCTTGGTTCGCACTTGGTACTTGAGTATGTCCACATTGAAATAGGAGGCCGTGGGGTTGTTCTCCGCCTGCCTTCGCAGAAGGGCCGTCAACGCTCCCATATTAAACTCTAGCATGGTGCTCAATGCGCTCGACTGCTGTCGATCTCTGGGAGGAGGAGGTTAAACGATGTTGAAACAGGAACATATCATGAAGAAAAAACGCAACGGATACTCACATTTGCACCAGTTTCCCATTGGGAACAAGATTCTCAAGATTCTGTACATGCTTAATGCGAAAACCCAGCTTGGCTGGATTGGGATTATTGGCTAACAGGCCGGCAATGCCGGCTGGGAATGATAGCATCATATCACCGGACACCTTCACCTGGCACCGCGACTCATCACTGCCCCGGAAGTAGGCATGTATAATCTCGTGGAAGGCCACCGCCAGCGGTATTGTGTCCGAAATACCAATTGTCAGCGGAGATGGGCCCCGGGAGGAGCCCACTCCCCCAATGGCCGTGCGGAACTCCAGGCTGCCAATGCTCTCGGCTCGATTCATCGGAGCTCCCGTCACGGGAGCCGGAGACATCCGACCGCGTCCAGGGGCCGTGTTCGTGGCGGCAGGTCCAATTGCAATCATATCGGAGCGACGGGAAGGCGGACGTGGTATGGCTATGCTTCCACCCGCGGACGTTGGTGTTGGTATCTGGCGTCCCCCTGGCTTGCCCAGGGTGGCCGATGCCGGGGCAGACATGCTCATGTCGCCAAGCTCCGAGAAGATATCTCCCAGATCCGCATATCGATTGTTACTGGCATTGTTTGCGTTGTTGTTGGACAACGTAGGACTCTGCAGCGGTGCGTATGGATGCACGCTGGCCGTGGGCGTTGAGGCATTCGAAATCTCGGGAGATTGCTGCCGCGAGGCCGGAGCACCTCGCGCCCCCTGCTGCAGCTGTTGGCTGTGATGCTGTTATAATGGAGGTATATTGATTAGAGTGTCATCTGGAATAGAGAGTGGGCACAACTCACTGAAAAAACTCCAGTTGGAGACAGGGAAATGTTCTCGACGGTGGCACGCAGCTCATCAACGCTTGCCGACATCGGCGCCTGGCCGTTGTTCAGAGGCTTGATCTTCACATGAATCCGCCGCTCCTGCTTGTCATTATCAGAGTCCGTATCCGAGTCGGAATAGAAACTGCCAGCTAAACGGGTTTTAATCATTAGTATTTGTTATTTGTCTCAAGGAAACATTATTTGAAATTCTTACATTTATCTTGGCCCTCCTCCCAGGCGATCTCTTTGGCCGGCTGTATGCTGAAGCCCTCCTCATCCACCTCGTAGCCAGTCCCAGTTCCAGTAGCGCTGGAGCCCCCCGCAGGAGCTGTGGTCGAAGCCGACGTAGTAAGAGCCGCTCCCGCATTTGGTAGGCTGCCGCCACTCGCCCCGGCAACTCCTCCACTGCCACCCATGCTGCTGGCCCCAGCCGAGTCCACGCTGCCCTGTGCGGAGGTCACAGACAAGGCTGCCAATCCACCGCCAGCGCTGCTGCCACTGGAGTTCTGTGTCTTCATGCTGCGTCCGTGATCATCGTAATCGAGCAGGGTGTTATTGGCCCTATCCACGCTGGCAGAGCGAGAGTTAGAAGAGTGTTAGCAAAGAAATGAGGTCGATTGTATCTGGCTCCCTACCTGGTCAGACGCTCTTCCTGTATGTGCTCGGCGGCCTCGTTGTCTTTCTTCTTTTTGGATTTTTTAGTTTTCGTCTTGTCACGGCGACTCCTTAAGATGCCCGACACTGCCAGCGAGATATTGATTATAATTTGTGTTAGCTATGAGATGACTTAGGATTAGGCAAGCTACAGGCTAATAGAACACATATTAAATACATAATTGAGGGGAGCATAGTGGAGAAGGATATGCCCCACTCGACAATGAAAAACAAATACTTTCGAGATATTTCAGCGACACACTCGAAACTTTACACAAATGGTTAGTTCTTATAGATTAGTTTATAGTTTACATCGGAATCTTAAATGCAACTATTTCCTCGGAACTCGTGACTCAAACACCGCCGTAAAGTGCTCAAAATGGTTTGGATGTTAATCAGGTATGAGGGTACAAGCTGGTGCACACAGAAAAGCCTTTGAATTTGTACATATTTAACCTAAGCTTAAAGCATGCGTTTCGGATGGATGGTACAGGTACAGCTACAGGTACCGGGTAAAAGGGTACAGGATGTACAGGGTGTAAAGGATCTTTGTGGACAGGGCAGGTCTGGGCAGGTCTGGGCAGGGCTGGGCAGGAGCAGGACGGGTTCAATCACTTTCATTGAGATAAATTTACCCTGAGAGTTTGATGTGAATATATTTAAAAGTGACGTTGCACGTCTGGACGTTGTCGTTGTGGTGGCTGCTGTCGTTGCTGCTGCTGTGGTGGCGTTTGCTGCTGCCGCTGTCTGTTGGAGATGTTCTTGCTCATTTAATGATTTCGATAATTGCTGCTCGCTTGTCGTTGCATTCAGTATTTGCTTTTTGCCGCCACCTGCACTGGCAGTTGGTGTTAAGGCCTCGGCCGGCTGTTGCTGATCTAAAGTTTTTGATTTTGATTAGTCGATCAGTGCATGGCATGGATGATGGGTTTTGATTTGGGATGAACGATGATATAGAGACGATGGTTGATGATGGAGGTTGTAGACAAAGAGAAGAGAAGCATAGAGAACAGATGGCGATAGTTAGATAGGCTCTTGGGCGTTCGTGTGATGCGGGGTGTGCTTGTGTGTATATTTGTGTGCATGTTCATAGGTAGTCCCTTAGTCTCTAATGT